TCTTCAAGATCATAAAAGAACACCCCAAAACTCTTAGTAAGCTCAAGAATACTCTCAAGATGGTTAGGATTTCGAGATTAGCTCAAAAAGGCAATGGATACTGATAAGGTGAAGGCTTTGAAGGACTTAATGAGCTTAAATAGGGTGCAAACCCTAAAAATTAGGGTTTTCCCCTGACTTGCGTACGCATGGGTATGCCCAATGTACATAGGGGACACCCCACCTCATGCAACCAAGGGAGTACGCACGGCGTACCACATGTACGCCCCGCGTACTCGAGCCCCAAACGTCCAAATGAAGGAAAAAGATTGCTAAGAGTTTTACTTGGCGATTCGGGCGTTACAATTTTCCCCCACTTGAATCAGAATTCGTCCTCGAAGTCCGATGTCGCAAATAACCCTGGGTAATGCTCCCTCATCTCTTCTTAAGGCTCCCATGTCCATTCAGAACCCTTCTCATGTTGCCATTGCACCTTTACCAAACCCACAACCTTGTTCCTCAAGGTTTTCGTCTTCCGGTCAAGGATCGTCACCGGCCTCTCAATGTAATTTAGGTGGTCATCCACCTGAATTTCCTCTAATGGAACCACTACGGAGTCATCAACCAAACACATCCGCATCTGAGAGACGTGAAAAGTATTGTGGATCTGAGTAAGCTCCTACGGAAGATCTAAGCGATACGCCACCCTGCTCACCCAAGCTAAACCCTAAAAGGGCCGATGTATCTGGGGCCTATCTTGCCCCGCTTACTGAATCGGATGACACCTTTCCAAGGTGACACATTCAGGAGTACCATATCCCCGACCTGGAACTCCAAGTTTGACCGACGCTTGTCTGCGTAGCTCTTCTTCCGACTCTGTATTGTCTGAAGCCTACCACGAACCTGCTAAATCATCTCGGTTGTCTTGAGTACCACCTCGATACTCCCCATGACTTGCTGACCGACCTCACCCCAATATATCGGGGTCCTACACTTCCTCCCGTATATCATCTCAAAAGGAGGTTGATTGATGCTGACATGATAACTATTGTTATACGAAAACTCCGCTAACAAAAGGAACGTATACCAACTACCGCCAAAATCTAGAACGCACGCCCGCAACATATCCTCCAAAGTTTGGATAGTCCGCTCACTCTGACCATCTGCCTGCGGGTGAAAAGTTGTGCTGAAGTGCAGACGAGTACCCAACTCCTCATGAATTTTCTTTTAGAACCTGGAAGTGAATCGAACATCGCTATCTGAGACCACAAAAACCGACACCCCATGGCGTGCCACAACCTCCCGAATGTAGATGTCTGCCAACTTCTCCGCATAGATACTCTACCGGATCGGGATAAAATGCGCGCTCTTGGTCAATCGATCCACGATAACCAATATCGAATCCACTTTGGATATGGACTATCTTCTGGGATTTGGGGCTAATTGTATTTGGGCCTTGGTGGGTTAGGTCCAGTAAGGCAAGGATTAAGCAGCCTTTTAGGGTTTGGACTATCGGGTTGGATTATTGACCTAATTTCTAATTAGGGTTTCAATACTTGTGATTTAGTGAGAGGATTTTGCGAGTCAGCAGCTCGAGCGTGATTTGATATCTTCGGTATGATGTGAGTTTCCTTCACTGTATCCATGGGTCGAAGGCACCAATGACGACCCACCAGATTATGCTTGTAGGATGATGATTGTCTTCGTGACAATTATTTGTTATGCCTGTATATGTTTGAGGCCTTTATGAATCTTATTGTTTATGTGTTAGTTGTAGGGGTGAAATAAACCCGATACCGGTTGAAAGATACCGAAGGGGGTGAAATAGACCCAATATCGGTTGAAAGATACCGAAGGGGGTGAAATAGACCCAATATCGGTTGAAAGATACCGAAGGGGGTCAAATAGACCCAATATCTTTTTGACTGTTATATATGTATGGTATATGGTATTTTGGGGGAACTCACTAAGCTTTGTGCTTACAGTTTTCAGTTTATGTTTCACGTACTTCCAGCTCGAAAGGGAAAGGCCCGACCTAATCGCCCCACATCCACCTATGTTTTCCGCATCACATGATTTTGGGATTTTGTATTATGATATTATTGTATTATGATATACTTTCGACTGTTTTGATATGATTATCGTATGATTGGAATGAATTTAAAAATGAAATTTTTATCTGAAATTTTGGGATGTTACACTCTCACCGAGTCCAACAATAAAAAAAGCTGACTGGAGACTAAAGCTCATTTGCCTTGATTTACCCTTCCATTTCTTCTTCCTATAGACGTGTTCCTTCTTTTGCCCATCTCCGACATCTGCGACATTTGCGCCTCCAACCTCTATCTACATTGTTCCTCCCTCATCCGACCGATGCCTCCGCCGCTTCCATTCAGTGCCTTTTACCCAAGCTTCGACGTCCTTCCATGTATGTATCCAACTACTTTCATAAACTGTGGTTATTGTAGAATGTATCTAACTTACAGTTATTATAATCTACAATAGTTATGATTAAGTAAGTTATGTATTGAAATTGATAACATGATCGTAATCTTGTTTCTTTTAAGTTTCTTTGCAGATTGGGGAGTTTCTTGAACCAACGTTGTGAAGAAAATTTGGGGCTACATCAAGAGTAATAATCTATAAGTCATTCACTAATGCGATTCCAACTTTATCGTTTCTTTACACTTTGTGATTTTCGTCTAAATGCCCAAGAACTGAATTTGCTTTTTGTTTGTACCTAATCTTCACACACACAAACACAAATATATATATATATATATATATATATATATATATATATATGAATTATAATGTATGTTGAATTTTATTGTCCTCATTGTGCAGAACCCATCGAACAAGAAAGAGATTTTGTATGATGCCAAATTAAAGACAATATTCAGCGGGAAGGACCAAGTTGGATTCTTGGAGATTGCCAAGTTGTTGTCACAACATTTTGTCTGGTAACCGATGCTGGCATGGTAGTGAATGACAATAAAACCCTTAAATTTTAAAATGTTACATGATGGTTTCTAAGGCTACACGGTGTGGGAAGAAGAAGCACTCGGCAAGGCTGAGTTGGAGGGTGACCTGGAGCTCGGCAAGGAGGGGAACACCGCCCCCTCACCTCGGTATGCTCATGTATTTGGAGGAACTCGACATACTCTCACCGAGTCTCTCTCTTCTTGGCAAGATTTGTGTTATGTGGATTGGGGTTTGGGAGGAGGTAGCGCTCGACAATGACGACACCACTCCTTGCAGCCTAAGTGGATTTTGGGTGTTGGTGGATTCTCGGATGTGACTCTTAAGCCAGAACCTTGTCTTTTGTATGTTAATGTGCTAACACTATCACTTTAATTTGGTTTTTAGTTGTAACCTACTTACCAATGTGAACCAAAGGCATTTATATTGTACTTATCAAGTATACAATTTATAAACCTTTATCTTTGAACATATGTAGAAAATATGAATTTGTATCGTTTGATGTTAGGATGTTGCACCTCTTTTTTTTCATTTTATTTTTTTTTAAATTTTTATGAACATATGTATGTTGAGTTGCAAATAGAACATAAGGGTAAAATGGTTTCAGTCAAATGTAGAATCGGTCATACTTCAGACTAGGGATGAGTTATAAAACCGGAAAACCGGACCGGAACAGGAACCGAACCGGAATCGGAACCGGTATAACCGGAAAATGCTTAAACGGTCTGGGTATTCGGTCTAAAAATCAGCCTTATCCGGGTTCCGGGTATTTCGGGTCCGGGTATTCCGGATTTTAGAATCGGATTTGTAAAAAAACCGGAACCAAGTTAAATGAACCGGAACCGATTTAGTGGGCCTTGAACCAGAATTTAAAGGATTATTCAAACAATATGCCTACTGATGAATTACAACATATCGACTACTCAAAAATGAGTTCTATAATTTAGAGTTTTCATTTCATAGTTAAACACTTTAATCACAAAGTTTTGTATCCAAAACAAATTTCGAAATAAATATAATCATTAAAAATGTTTTTGTTGTCATGCTTGTTCTAAATTTGCCTTCTTCCCTTTAACAACATTATTTGGAATCTAGTAATTCCCTGTCAAATTACTATTTTGCATTTTTACCCGAATTTTATACTTCTATTTATTATTATTATTATTATTATTATTAAAAGCTACAATCCTTGGAACAAACAGAAAGAAATAAATGTAGTGGTTATTAACTTATTATTCAATCTTTCGTTGCTCATCTTTGATAACTTGATATGTCACCGCCACCACAAACCATCATTTGAATTTTTTTTACCTTTCCATCTAATAGTGTTGATATTTTATTTCGGTTGAAGATTGGAATTTTAAGGTCGACTTTCGGTAAATTGATGGAACCATTCAATTACTGTGAAAAATTATATCTCGTTGCATTGCATATGTATAATGTTAGTAAAAGAAAAAATATATTAATATTAACATAAAATCTCGTAATAAATACCTTGTCCCATTTTTTTTCTAACATATTATTTTTTTCTTTTGTTCCAAAATTCCGGGTTTCCGGTTCCATTTTCGGGTTTCTAGTTATTTCGTGTCTAATACATGAATCCGGTTTCAATTATCAATTTCCGGTTCCAACCGGTTCCATACCCACTTTACCCGATTTGTTACCCGGAACTGAACCGGAACCGGTTCCTATATACCGGTCCGGTTCCCGGTTCTTTTAAATTGTCAATTCCGGTTTTCGGGTTTTCCGGGTCCGGGTAAACCGGTCCGGGTTTGGACCTACTTTCATCCCTACTTCAGCCCTAGTCAGGTCTGTGACTTAGTCAGATCTGACTCAATCAACAACTATCAAACAACCTTATAATCCGCAATTACAAAACTTTTACCTTTAAAAACAAACAAACAATTATACAATATAACCATTAAGAGACTATGAGCTCTCCTATGTCAAATATACCGTATGCAAACCAAGTTTCTATTTAATAGAAAAACTTTGAGAGCCTAAAAGAAATAAATCAATAATTCAAGGACCTGTGTTGAGAAAAAACTTAGGTTTCAAAAAGAAGAACACGCACTCTCTCTCCCCACTACTGCAAGTAGCGAACAAAAATGTCGACGACGGCGAAGAGAGATCTGGAAACCAGATCGCCGGCGACAATGTCCTACCGGAGCAATTCTTCACCACAGCCTTCGCTGCCGTTGGTGGTCACTCTCAACTGCATCGAAGACGCGAGCATCGAACAGGAATACCTGGCCGGCATCGCACGTGTCGAGCACGTACCTCTGAGTCTACTAGCAGAGGCGAAGATCGAGTCTGCTGCAGCTGTTCTTCTACACTCGCTCGCGTTTCTACCACGTGCCGCCCAGCGCCGGCTCCGACCATGGCAGATCGTGCTATGCCTCGGCTCGTCTGATCGCTCCGTAGATTCTGCTATTGCCGCTGACCTAGGGCTTGGTAGGCTTGTACACGTGGACGTGTCGCGAGCTGAGGAGGTTGCTGATACCGTGATGGCTTTGTTTCTAGGGCTACTTCGGCGCACACACTTGCTTTCACGCCATGCGCTTTCGGCATCTGGATGGCTCGGGTCAGTTCAGCCACTTTGCCGTGGAATGCGGCGGTGCCGAGGCCTTGTGCTAGGGATTATTGGCCGGTCTGCTTCTGCCAAGTCTTTGGCTACTCGGAGTTTGGCGTTTAAGATTAGTGTGCTCTATCATGATGTCAATGAGGTATTATTTATTTACAATCACACTAGGATTTGATTCATTAATCAGTCATTCCTTAGCTATATTTCCTTCTATAATTGGAATATACTGTGAACTTTTACTAATACAGAGCGTAATTGATTCTCCAATGTTGCAATTGTCAGGCTTGTGTTCAGCTATAAAGTTAATAGAGGTCTAGGTTGCTTAAGATCAAATAGGCACGTCGCGTCACTTCATTCTAATGAGTCAATTGGGAATCAAGATGCCGCATTGATGGAACCTTTAGCTGTTCCACTGTAGATTGGTTATGTGGATTTGTTATTAGCCACAACTGAATAAGTGCCATTTCTTTCACTCAGACCCAGGTCAGGGTCCAGCGACCTCTTTGTTTTACTTACCAGATGGATGATTTTTGGTTGTAGCAACTAGCAATCGATTATGTTATTTTAGCTCCTTAAGCTAGTGTCTTGTTTATTGCAATTAAATAGACTTATTTAGCTAAACTCCAGAGTTCTGAAAGTAAGATTGTGTAGCCAGTAGCCACTCAGTTATCAGAGTTGCCTATCCAGCTTTGATCTTTCTCATTTATTTGATAGTTGTTTAACCATAGTAAGCAGGATTGAACGATAATTAAGTAGGATTTCATGAAGTTTATTATGGATGTTAGTTTTTCATTTGAAAAAGTAACAGGAGTTGTTGCATGAAATTATCAACATCATACTACTATGGTCGTACTCGTACCATATGAACTTCACTTCTATCATAAATATAAAAGTATTAATATTACTATTCAACTTCTAAGATACACACTTAAGATCCGATTAAATGGTCTTAGCTTCACTTAGCCTTGTGCTTATGTATCATCTATATGATACATGATTGATGACATGTTGGTAACTTGTGCCTGGAATTACATAATGGAATTTTCTATAGGTAGTTTACAAGAGAAGGTAGCTAAGTGCATAGATCTTCTGTTGCAATCTAATTAGGTATGGCAATATTGCGATAGGTGAGGTGAGGGCACCTTAGAGGCTGACTTGTCTATTGAGCAAGGTAACCCAGGCTTAGTGACCAAAGTCTGACAACTTTTGCTTTTTGTCATTGCCTTGAAGGTTATCAACTCATGGGGTTTATAGGTTCTCAAAGTTTTACAGGTTAAAATGTCGTTTATCCTTGTTGGACCTTAAAAGAAAAAAAAAGAGATGTTTTTTTTGTATAGCCTACCTTGTTTTTGGAAATTTGACACTGAATTATTGTACTGCTCAAGAATAATGTAGGGATAATGTGATATGGTTCATTTCTGCATTACAAGTGTGTGATTTATTGAGATGAGCATTTTCGTATCTTAGAGAGAAGGGTGTGGGTTAAAATCTAATCAGCATTCAACAGATAAATAATATGCAGGCTGCAAAGTGAAAGCTTACTTTTACAAATTTTGTAGCATAATTTACCAGTTTAGATGTTAATTATTATTATTGTTAATAGTTATTACATTCTCCAAGGATATATAGTCATATCATAGGCAATCGAGTCCATGTCAATAGAGATGTTTTGGTATCATAAATACGGTTTCTACCTCTTTCTTATTCATATTTACATTTTGTAGGAAAAAGGAAAAAGATTAAGCAGGTTTCCTCCTGCTGCCAGGAGGATGGACACTCTCAATGATTTACTTGCTGCAAGTGACCTCATCTCACTCCATTGTGCCCTAACAAACGATACAATTCAGATTCTAAATGCTGAAGCACTGCAGCATGTCAAGCCAGGTATTTTTTTTGTTTGTTTGTTTTAAAAATATTCTATCATTTGAAAAGGATACAAGGATGCCTCTTTTTCTGGACTAATTACAAGGGTGTTGTTTATTTATACAGGGGCGTTTCTAGTAAATACCGGTAGCAGCCAGTTATTGGATGATTGTGCAGTAAAACAGCTTTTGATTGATGGCACGCTTGCAGGGTGTGCTCTTGATGGAGCCGAAGGGCCTCAGTGGATGGAAGCATGGGTAAGATGAATAACCATAGGGTATGAGAAATCACACAACATGCAATGCAACTAAAAGTATTGACCAATTAAAAGCTTGCTTAGAATTAAAGGTTGCATGCAATAAATAGCATCATACTTTCGTTGATTTGTTTGTTTTAGCATTCTACCTTCATTTCCTCCTATTACACCATTGCACTCTGAAAAATCTACCCATTATAGCAATGCCATCCAAATACGAAGCAATTCTCACTGCTATAATTGCACACAATTCTGAATGTATAATGTCCTTATAAGAAACAAATTGAAAATACAATGCTATGTTTGGGTACACTTTTCACTTAATAAGGAAAAAAATAGAAAGTACGATGCTGTAATAGAAGAAGATTAAAGTAGGTTGCTATAATACATAAAGAAATAAAAGTATGTTGCTATTTCTTGCATTTACCCATTTGTTTAATGTAGATATATACTTGTGGTAGTATGAGAGGTTAAAATTTCTATATACGATGCCTTGATAAGAAAAAAAAAATCGAAAGTACATTGCTGTAATAGAAAAAACATGAAAGTATAACATCCTAATAAGAATTTTTTTTGATAGCACAATGCTATAACCGGGTATACTTTTTGAAGTACAATGATTTAATAAAAAAAATGGTAAGTACAATGCTATAATTGGGTGGATTTTAGATTTAGATGCCCAATTTTGTGATGCTTCCCTGTAGTGCGGTGATTTACCTTCTGACTGTCTCATGTTGTGGGGAACCAGGTCTTTTTAAGTTATTTGTCATAGCATCCTACTTCCATTTGCAGCATTGTAGTTTGATAAATCTACCAAATTATAGCAATGTCACTGCTCTAATTGGGTACATTTTTCAAAGTACAACGTCCTAATAAAAGAAATCAAAAGTACAAACTTCAATGCTATAATCGGGTAAATTTTCCAACGTACAACGTCTTAATAAGAAAAAGAAAAACAGAAAGTACAAAGCTGTAATAGAAAAAGATTAAAGTAGGTTGCTATAACACCCAAATAAATGAAAGCATGTTGCTATTTCTTGTAATAATACAGGATACTAACTATAAGTTTTATGAAACATGAACATACAGGTACGCGAGATGCCCAATGTTTTGATACTTCCCCGTAGTGCAGATTACAGTGAAGAAGTTTGGATGGAAATTCGTGAAAAGGCTGTCTCCATATTACAAACTTTCTTCTTGGATGATGTCATCCCCACAGACGCCGTTTCAGACAACGATGAAGAGGAAAACAAAACACTCCATGAAGATGAAGTAAGTGATAAACAAGGAAAAGACAACAACACGTTTCAACTAACAGATGATCTAAATATAAACATAAAGCAATCATCGGCATCCTCAAGTCAACTGCAAGAGTCAACGTTATCACAAACTACTTCCCCTCAATCTGAAGTCAAACGCAGTAAAAAAGCTAAAAAAAGACACGCGCGTCAAAAATCCATGCATAAAGTTGGTGAAAGTTTAGAAAAAAAAGAAGATGATACTGCCATGAGTTCCAGTTCACAATTTGGTTCCCCTGATAATGAATCAAGAAGTAAAAGAACACCAGTAAAATCTGGTAGTAAAAAGTCACTTGAGATGTTAAAAGATGGGTGTGTTATTTCTTTGCAAGCAAGAGATCGGGCTGCATTTCATGTGTCTAGGCAGAGAGCTCAAGGTGGTGGCTGGTTTTTGGACACGATGTTGAATGTGACTAAAAGAGATCCAGCAGCACAGTTTCTTGTTGTTTTTAGAAGCAAGGTTTGTGGTTGTGGAGTGAGTTTTTTAATTGATGTCACTTGATTTATTTATTTATTTGTTTATTGTGATTTTGTGCAGGATACGATTGGCTTAAGATCTTTCACTGCTGGTGGAAAATTGTTGCAGGTGTGTTTCTACTTTGAATTATCTTTTCCTGGTTTTACTATAAAGTAAAAAAGAATGTAATTCTTATAATTAAACTATTGTTATATCAAGTTTTTCAACAAAAGGAACTAAGGAATGCCTGGAATCTAATAGAAAGATTTAGGGGGTTTTTGTTAGTAGAATGTTTTCGGAAGGAATGGAATCTGTTAAAGGAATGGGAGTCTGAAAGAGTCATAAACTGTCAGGCATTTGGTTGGCAGGAAATACGATGGAATTCAATAATTAATGTTAAATAATTTTTCAAATTCTTTTATATAAGTAAAATTGAGTACGTTACAATTTTGGTCCCTGAGTATAGCAAATTTGGCCCCAAAAAATAATCCTCTTGCAATTTTGGTCCTTGTTTGAGTTTTTTGTAATGTTTTTGTCCCTTTTCCAAGTAAAATGACTATTTTTGAAACCAAAATTGCCAAAAAAAGCTATTCTTGGGGACCAAAAACGTTACAAGAACCTCAAAAAAGGACCAAACATGCAAGAGAACTTTTAAGGACCAAGATTTCAAGATAACTGTTTAGGACCAAAGTTGCAATAATCAGGTAACTTAGAGACGAAAAATTTTATTTACTCTTGAGATAATCATAATACAGATTTGAGCAATACTTAATTTTTTGTTTTATGATAGTAGTTTAGATACCCGTGTCCATGTATTACACGAGTTGATTAAAAGAAATATTAAATAGGAAGGAGTAAACATTAAGGATTTCTAAAAATGAGAGGGTGTTTCAGCTTCCCTAAATTGGAGACATTTGGGGATGAGCTGGAAGTTTAGATAGTTGGGAACACAGGAAGGTGAGAAATGTCCCTAAAGTTATTTATTATAACTGAATCTTTGTTTCTGTTCATTTTA